ACTTTCTGGACCAGATCTTGCATCTGCTCTCTCCTTGTTGCCAGAACTGTATTCTTTTTAACTGTGCCATTGTCTATAACATTCTTTTTCTATTGTGATTTTATTATCACAAACATCCATGCTTCTTTGGCCCTTAAGGACACTGGGGTAATACGTCCATCTGCTTGAGGAGGATTTTGGTTTTGGAAAGGCTGGGATCTGCAGTGAAACTATTTGTGCAGGGGAAGCTGTTCCTGAGCATTTCTTGGTGCTGTTAATTCTGCACGAGTCTCCAGCTAATGGCTCTGTCAGCAGAGTGACCCTCAGTGGTTTCGCCGAGTCTTTAAGTGCTCTCCAGCCCTGCTGTGCAAAGAGGGACCCCACATAAGCAGAGCTTTCCTCATGCTGGCTCTTTAGACTTATCACAGCAAGGACAGCCTAGAAGAGACCAGTTGACTGTGCCTGGGACTAGGAAGGCCTAGCCCAAAGATCTGCTCCAAACAACTGATTGCCTTGGACCCTTTCCGAAAAAGGCTCTGCAGACACGTATTCCTTCAGTGAACTACCAGAGATGGAGGCACATTGCCAGAAGAACCAGCTGCGTTTGGGATTAGATGGCTGGAAAGAAGTCCTTTCTCTGTCTTCAAAACAAAATCACTTTTTAACATCTGCTGCAGAGAAATCTCGTGACTTATGGATCCACGAGAATCTGTTCTCTTCCTTCTCTTTCCTGTTTCTTTGTCAATTAAGGTTGTTTTCCTTCCCTTTCCTCACCCATTGTGTCTCTTTATATGTTTCCTACAGGACAGGAGCGTGTGTGTGGGGGGGTCTTTTATCTCTCCATTTCGGGTTTTTCTGTCTCTTGAAGTCTCACAATAAGTGCAGCAATTTTTCTCTCAGCAAGGTGAGCACACCCCAGATAACCTGACAAGATCTGCCTGCACTCATAAAATTGCTTGGAGAGAGGACTTCCTCACTAAGCCTTTGGTTTATTGTTATTTCAGTGCTGAATGAATAATGAGAAGGTTTAAGTAAACAGATGGGTTTGATTCAAGCCCATCATACCAGGGGTGTGGGGGGAGAGGAGCTGCTTGTCCTGACAGCTCATCTCATTAGGCCACACGTGGTGTGAGGTGTTGAAAGCGGTTTATCACGTGTAATGCCCGGGCATGATGGGGTGAGCTGAGGATCAAGTGTATCTCTGTCCTCCGCTTAATTCTTAATATTTAAAAAGGTTTCCTGTAGTTCTCAGATGCGTGCAAACTAAATATGTATAACTTTTTGTGTTTGAGTTATGTTACAAAAATCACCTCTTTTCCCTGTTTCTTCCACAGTCTCAGCTGCCGGCGATGTATAATTGTGGGAAATGGTGGAGTACTTGCAAATAAGTCATTGGGGTTAAAAATTGATGACTATGATGTTGTTGTCAGGTGAGTCTTTGGCATTACAGGTTTTTTGGTCGTGTTCACATGCTATGCAGGCAAACTTTAACCTGTACTAGTGACAGCATCCATTTGTATGGAAGCATTAACTTATATGGAGGGGAAAAAAAGGCACAAGCATATAAATGTTATACACGGTGATCACATCAAAGGGTGAAGGCACTCCTCAAGCATTCCATTTTCCACAGCTATTTGGGAATGTGATCTCTTATATGATCTCACTTGAACCTTCTCTTCGTAGCTCCTTTCTAAAAACTGCTGCTTATGTGATGCCCTTCTGTGGTGAAGCAGTAACTCACTGTTGGATCTGCTCCCAGATGTATCCCCTACATAGCTCAGGGAAGTGTTATTGATCATACATGTGTAGCATTCCTCAGGAACTACACTTCACTGTTAGAATGGGAAGGACTAAGAATGGTGCAGCATAGGGTCTTAGGAAGCAGAAAGCCCCTGTGAGTGAGAACCCAGTAGTGATTAAATGTCTGTAAATGTGCCCTAGAAACTGTGAATACTTTGCCTCTTTCACTGTGGATGACAATGTTGTATAAGAGAAAAGAAGCAGAGTGGTGTAGGAGCTGGAAAGGACCACAGTCAACGTTAGTACTTCTTGCTTTAGCTGAGGACCTGGATAATCGCCATCTCAGAATGCTTGAAAAACGTGCTGATATGTGAAATCACAGGTCTAGTCATAACTCTTAGTAATAAATCTGTCAAGTCAGGGAGGTGTTCTGGGTGACTGGAGATTAACAAACATAATACCTGTACTAATGGAGAGTGAGAGAGAGAGTGTGTGTAGGAGGGAGGGGGGATGTGCTCTAGGGAGCTACAGGCCCATTAGTCTGACTTGAAAAAAAATGCAGAGCTTTTTAGCAGGTTTTGAATCATGAGTAAGAAAATATTACGATGGTAAATCAAAAAAGTGGGATAAACTTCAGTGTAAGTTTATAAAAACTGGTTTAACATAGTCTAAGTTGGGTATTTTTGTCTAAGTAAGATAACTGATTTCCTATTAAAGGAAATGTATCTGATATCATCTCCCTGAACTTTAGTCAACCATGAGATGTGGTGGCAAATAGCAAATTCTTAGCTAAAGAGAAAGAAAGAAAGGGATTAGTGAAAGAATATAAGGCACAGTACAGATATCATTTAGCGAGATCTCTGTTCTCTCCCATGTACCAGAAATGGGCACATGAGGAAAGAATAGAACATACACAGTGATAAATATCCTCTGACTCTGGACTAAAAGAACAAGAAGATCCCTTTCATTGTTTTGTTCTTCTGAATGGTTCCCTGCTTCTCCATCAGTGTGCTGGACACAGGGATGGTTGTTCAGAACAGAATGAAATTTTTACAGCCCTTCTAGTTCATCCCACTGTCAGTTGTTAGCAAGGAGCTGTTACTACTTGTCATAGTCTGGTGACTTGTAGTTATTTGAGCTGAATTAAAATGCAGTTATAGACTTTTCTTGGGCTCAGACTGTTCAAAAATATCAAGACAACAGTTTCAATCCATCTAGACTAAGCCACCCACTAAGATTTACATCAGAAAGTCCATTATTTAATTTCTAAATAAAAAATTCAACTTTTTCTCTCCAGATCAGTAAATCTTAGTCACTTTGCAAGCTGAGAGGATAAGAGGGCAGCTAAACACCTGTGCTGTTTGTGGGAGGGATACAGGAGAGAGAAGTCAACTGTAAAGGTTAAATGAAGCCAGGTGCTTGGATGTGTATCCAGCTGCTTGCTTTACTCCTGTGGAGGCTGAGGAAGTTCCTTGTATTATTCCATGCTTTTTCATGGGTTGCAGAACTCCTTTGAAAGATCATATTGGGACCTCGGAGGTGAATTTTAGGGGGGAAAATGTGGTACATTTGTGGATAAAGGAGTGATCCAGCAGTATGTGGAGATTTTTGATGCCCCATGTGTTACCATGTGAGGATTGCTAATTGCAGCAAGAAATCTAGTCCTTGTGGTGAATATAGTCTGATCAGCTTTGTCAGTTCTAAAACAGCTGGGAGTTACTGTTTTCCTTTAGCTAGATACTACCAGATTTCAGCACAGATGTTATTCCCAGTTGTCACACTGTTTACCTGGCAGGAGCTTCTTGCAGCAGTCAATCATCAGTGCTCTGAAATGCCTCTGTAGATTAGATTGCAGACAGGGCAAAACCAAGCATGTATCAGAAATTCCTGATTAGGAGGAGATAGGAATTCACCTAATGATGATACTTTAGTGATATCTGAAAGGGGCTTCCTGGTGCCAAGGTTAGGAGTCAGTGTCTCTAAGCTCCCTATGTCATCAGCAGACTAAGAGAAAAACACTCTGAAATGTCTTGTCGAGAAAACTGCCCATCCCTGGATAGTACAAGGAGGCCTGACATCCTAACTGAGGTTTTCTAAGATTTCTCTGCATTTATAACGACCAGTGTGTCCTGCCTGAGAAGGGATTTGAGCTGTGTAGTCACACCTTTGTGAACACAGGCTGTGGCTGCCAGAACTTTTCCTGCTCCGTGCTGGCTCCTTTGCAGGACTCCGTCACTGTGACTCTGCCAGCAACTCACACTCTGGCCCTTTGCTGGAGATGTGGGTTCATTTTACTCGGGGAAATAGTTTATTTCCTGTCTAGATACAAGGTAGAAGTGCAAAGTTTTGAAAGCTTTAACAAGGTAAGCAGCAAAACAGCGAACCCAGCAGCTGAGGATGGGGAAAACCCTGCCCAACGGCTACACATTGACATTTGAAATGACTGCAGGCATCTTCTCCTTAACTTCAAGAAAACAGTTGAAAATATGTATAACTAGCTTTCTTTGCATAGTATTTTGTAATATTTATCTCTGTTACCTTTAGAGCTGCATGCTTCTACTTTATGTAGGGTCATTTATCCCCAAAAGACGCAACACCTTAAAGTTTAAATAATGCCCATGGCAAAAGAAAGTGATGTGTGAATGCACCATCAGCAACAGAGGAGAAAGCAGGGGATCAGCCTGGCTGGGAGCTCTGTGATTGCAGGTAGTCAGGTCTAGTTGCCTCAAAGCCAGACTACAAAGCAAGGGTTTATAAACTACAGAAAAAGACTTCATCTATATAAGTTGTGGTGCTTCTGATTAAGTTGTTTTCCCTTTTGCTTTATCATTAGGAATAAAATACTAGTATTTTTACTAGAAATACATAGGAATTTATTCCTCTTAAATTTTGAACATCATTTCAGATTTTTTTACAGAGATACTCTTCTGCTAAAAAGTTTACAACCTAAAATGCTTAGCCGGGCTGAAAAAGACAAATCCAGATTCTCATTAACATTCCTACAGAGCAAAATTTGCAGTCCATAAGCACTTTCCAGTATATTGAACTGCAGCAAGTCAAGAATGCTGCAATAATTCAAGCAGGCAATGCTGTTCCATCAGGGGCTGCTGTTTGATGTCAGCAAGATTTGTATTCCAAGTTACTTGAAATTTCCTCATCTTTGGGTTTCTAGTTTTGAATAGAAGTTCTGACTAACTTTAATGTCATGAAAGTCACCATTGCTGTTCATGCCAAAGCAGGTTTTTTTTTCGAGGGAAAAAACTTTGGTCCTGAGGATTGTTTAAACAAAAGCACAGCTATGTATTTACATAGTGTTCCCTTAGAAATCAGTGTGCCCAAGAGCAAAGCTATGTATCTGCTTGGGTGTTTTCAGAGTGGGATGCACTTCCAGAGCAGAAACTCCCCCAAGTCCATGAGACCACAGTGGTGCTGAGCCTTGCCCGAGCTGTGCAGTCCAACTTCCTCCTTTGTGCTGGCATTGCAGGGCAGCTCGCCTTCCACACCAGCCAGTTTGGGGAATTAAACCAGGTGGATATTGTTCCTTTGGGGTTTTTTAAAAACTATTACCTGGCTTATTTCCCTAAACAGCCTCACTGCAGGTAAGATGAGCAGTGTAAGCTCTGGACTGGGTTTGGAGCATGAGACCAGTTTCAGTTTGTTTAAACTGAAGTGGAGCTGCATCATCCTTTTCAGCACAGTCTTACAGAATCCAAGTAACACATTACAGGAGCAATGGGATATTAAAATATTAATGCTTAGTTTGTAACTCTAAATTTGCAAGGACAATATTTTTCAGTTTCCTTTTCCAAAGCTTCTGACCCAGCTGAGGTCACAAGAGTGGATATGCAGAAATGGTTTGCACTATATTCAGTGATACAATTTAAACAGTTTCTAATCATAATGTTGTCATTTGATATAAACCACCATAAATGTTTGTGGTGAAGAACTGCAAGAGTTAATGTTTGCTGCTGTAACAGCTGCTACAGGGAGCTCTTGCAGTGATTGCTGTGTCATCAACATGCTCAAGTGTAAGTGGGAATCTGTGACACTGTCTTCTCTGGTTGCCCTGCAGGCTGAACTCGGCTCCAGTGAAGGGTTTTGAAAAAGATGTGGGTGGCAAGACAACACTCCGGATCACATATCCCGAAGGTGCAATCCAGAAAATGGAGCAGTATGAGAAGGATTCCCTGTTTGTTCTGGCAGGATTCAAATGGCAGGATTTCAAGTGGCTGAAATACATTGTTTACAAGGAGAAAGTGGTAAGAACACTATCAACTGACACTGTGAAGGTCACCTGATTAGTAATGGTGGGCACACACAATATCACCATCATATTTGCCCCATTTTGGTCTGAACAGAATTCTTTTGTGCGTTGAAGTGAAGACTTTTTCTACCTTCATGGACTTCAGCTTTAATTAAATATGTTTTACAAAGACATTTCTGTAACCTAACCTTGCATCACAGATGAGGCTTTCTATTCAAGATTATGCTAGTGTGTACTCTGAACAATGAATTTAATTTTTAGTTATTTTAAAGAGTTTTTAAAAGGGCCAACTTTTGCTTGGATTTTATGGATTCTCAGGATTTAAGAGCAGAGGAAGGAAAAGAGCAATAGCAGGGGAAAGAAATGGGAGTCTGGGGACAAGGATGTGATGTTACAGGAGGGGCAAAGAAGACAACAGCAGCACAGCTTGTTGAAAAGCCTACAACTCAGACTTCGTGTGACCTGAATAACACAAGCCATTACGTTTTGCTCAGCTACTGAGATTCACGATTTGTTTTGGTAAAAGTATCATCCAGAAGAACAGTATCAAGTCTAATTTTAAAACACTGAAATGATGAATACACTGCTTTCCCCATGTAAATATTTTGCCCCCATCAGTTGCATTAGTGCCCTTCTGAAGTACCATGGACCTGCTACTAGTCGGGGTCATTCTCTGTAATTCACCTATCCTAAATGGAACCAGGTTGACTTCTCATTCAGCGAATGGTTTGTCTTTATCTCTTGTTAGGAAATACAGTATAAACGCACTCTATTTGGATATAGTTCTTGTTTTACAAATCTTATATATCTGTTTTCAAATGTTCCTTAATGACTTTTCAGCAAATAACAAGACAAATGGATTAGCATTCAGAGGATGGCATGTTATATTGTGTGTTTAGAGACAGAGAGAGGAGGTTGGCAGCTCACCACATACAGAATGAAACAGTCTGGGAACATAATTGTATACGGCTGTTACACAGATGGCCTTAAGGGCTCATGCTTCGCTCGTCTCACACTGGCACCAACTTGCAATTATTTTCCAGGTACCAGACAGATGAAGTTACCTGTCAGGCTCTGGGCAAGCACAAGTGGGCTTTCGTCACCTGAATAATTGAATCAAAAGTATTTTTCTTTGCTTTGTGTCAGGCTCTTGTTCTTCATTCGAGGCAGGGAAAGCCCTGGCAGTGGCAGTGCCCTACAACCAGAACACAGTTGCAGAAACTCCTAGTGTTTAGCTTCACTTTTCAAAGGATGGATTGGTTTACTTCTAAAGAAATTGAATTTCTACCTGATACTTACAGTCATGTGTTCATCACTATATTCTAATGTGATATCCCCTGCTCTTGTAAAGATGCAGCAAATAGTCTGTTAAAACTTGCTAGAAGACCTGGGGGAGTGATTGCAGTCCTCTGAACTGAGTGCTTCAGTGCCCAGCGTGGCAGAGAGCAGAAAGAGCTTGAGCTTCTTGCATTGCATGTTACTTCTGTGCTCTTGTGATTGCCTCCTTATCCTTTATTTTTTCAGAATAAACATTCCCTTTTTTTCTCAGTTCTTTTAGGTGATGTTTTCCAGATCTCTTAATTCCTGTTCCTCTTTTGAATGCCTGCAGTTGATTCATCTTTATTTTCAAGAGCAGTGCCCAAAAATGTACAGACTACAGCAAAAAGAGAGGAGCAAAGAGCTACTTCACTGGCCTCATAGTTCTCGTTCTCTATACATTTGCTGTTTGGACTGCCTTTTCCACACTGACATGGGACCGAAGGCGAGTATCAGGTTCCTTGGAACTCTGGGTCTCAGGAAGAACTGAAGAGCAGCCTCCTCCTCAGCTCCACACCCCGTGCTTGTGCCATTGGCTCCTCATGCCAAAGAGCAGCACTGTGCACTTGTCCCTACCAATTCTTTCTTCCAGAACATTTCTCCAATTCGCCAAGTTCCTTTGGCAGCACTTCCCAGCATACCTACCATTCTTTCTAGATTCATGTCCTCTGCAATTTAATAAACATACTTTTTGCTCCATCATCCAGGTTGATAACAGAAACACTAAACAAAGTTGGTTCCTAGGGAGACCCCAAAGAAATAACATCCATCCATTTTTACAGTGAGCCCACTGAGAACTCTTCCTGGATAGTTGGTTTTTTTTGCCACTTCTGAACTTTTGTCACAGTAGTATCATTAATAACGTTTTTGGCATGTTTGTGAAAGTAATCTGTCAGATGTTTTAGTGAATTCCAGTTCATGTCTTGCTTCTCCCCATGATAATTTTTCCCCTGTATAAAGGATTATTTTTTTAAATAATTTGCTTCTGACAAACCCGCCTGGATTGCTACTCAGGCTTTGGTGGTTTTTTTTCAGGTGCTTACAAATAATTAATCCTGCTGTTTTAGGAACTGAAATCATAAATCAACTCTCTTCCCCTTATTTTCCTTCTTAAGGCCAGGCATTACTTTTGTCCATTTTTCAATCCTTTTACACCCTACCTGTTCTACCCAAGTTTCCAGAGGGAATCATTGCTGGTTTTTGAAGCTGCTGAGCCAGTTCATTGAATACTTTAGGATGCAGCCCAGGTGACTGGAAAACATCTATCTTATGCTCTCTAGTCTGATCTCTCTCTATTTGAGACTGAGATCTTGCTGTCACTGGCTTTAGCTGCAAGCAGGTGGCTAGTACAGCTGCTTTTTCTAGAGGAAATTGATGCAAAAAGTGCAAAAATGGCCCAATGGAGAATTAACAGTGCTATGGGAATAGCACGTAGGTGTCTCTTTGTTCTGGTACTAAGTGTTAGCATTTTTATCAGTGTGTGGTAAGTTCAAAATGACAAATGCCTGTCCAGTGCTCTCTGTGGAGAGTTTATGTTTCTCTCTCAGCTGATTTTCCAGAGAAAAGGTAGTGTCTTCCTTTCCTGGATTCATATAGAGGCAGTTGTTTGACCTGGGAACTCTGTATGCTACTGTTGCTTCTTTTCTGACATGTCTCTCTGCAAGACTTCATCCCTGCTGCAAGCCAATGGTTATAGTCAGGAGTCTGACCTCCGGACAGAGAAAAGAGAAATGGAAGCATCCTGCTAAAGAGCATAACTGCTTTGGAAGTGGACACATTCCTCAAAAAAATGGGCCTATCTGTGCCCTCTGATGTTTCCTTTGCCTGTGACTGTTGATGGCAACTGCATGTGTCCATTATATGGTCACAGGTGGAATATAAGATTTTCTGAGTTCCTTCAGACACCTGGAGCTGCTTGGACTTGCTTGATTCTGGGCCAGGTACTAGGATCCCTACTTAGTCCTCTCTTCAGTAAGTGAAATCAAAGGGAGTTTATCTGAGAAAGAGTAAATGAAAGGTGAATGGCTATTTATTGCTGGGTCAGTGCTCAGATAAGCTTATTCTCCCTGCAGCTGAGAGAGATTTGCTCTGTGTTATGTTAGTCTTTTGGCAGCACTTTCTTACTGAGGAAGGGATAAGTGCTTTGTAGAAAGGAGGATTTTCAGGAGATGTTATAAGGAAAAAGAATCAGTGTGATGCAGAAGCAGCAGCAGAACAGTGAGGCAGGGGATTTGATGTGTTAGGTACAGTCTGGTGCAGCAGTCTCTCAGCAATCAGTGTGACGTCTTAGTGCCCTGGAAGGCACTATATCCAGAAACTGGTGCAGTGGAATATGGACCAAAGGAAAAGTAAAATCTGTACTGCTTTTTATGTCACACTAAACCAGAAATACCTGGAAGCAAGTAAAAACTTGAGAGAAAACATTAATCTAGGAACAGAGCAGGTTTAGATAAATATTCATTGTCAGCAGCAAAACAAAGGTAGTCTCCATCAGACTTCTGGCTGAGCTGGCGCTCAAAATTGCAAGTCTTGTAGCAAGTTATAGCAGTACTGTATCACCAGAGAGTGTAGACCTGCCTTTAAGAAGGGCAAGGGTGAGTGAATCTGAGCAACTAGAACCCTGGTAATCTGATTTCAGTCATTTGACAAGCATTAGAATAAACTGAAAGAGAAAACATTTGTGCTGGTTACAACTGAAAGGAGTATGGGATGAAGAAAAGTGACACAGTTAGCAGCGGGGAGTATTGCACCATGCTGACCTACTATGTCAGTGTACAAGTAGAAAGGCAATGGGTCGCAGTCCCACAGCCTGCAGTCGCATGAACTCATGGTTATTGCAGAAGGGTCACCGATGTGAACTGTTTGTGCGTCTGTGGTGACTGGTCTGGCAATGCTGACTTGCAGTCATTGCTGCAAGAGCCTGGTGACACTTCAGGCACCTCTTCACTGATGAAATGACTGCTGCCAGTGCATCCCCAGAGGGGGATTTCTCATGGACAGACACTCAGAACAGTTATATTTTCTCCTTTTTGCCAAGAGACATTACCCATATATATTGTGATCCACCCTGCTGCTTCCCACTACTTGTACCCTCCTGCATCACCCTGAGTCTCTCAGTGACAGAAGCTCTTCCTGAATAACCAAAGTACCAGAGGAATTATAGGGGTAGGGAGATTTGGTCATATATTGTTCTTAAAATAATGGTCAAAAGCTGAAATTTTCTCTGTTGCATGGAGAGTAGGTGTTTCCTGAAACAAACAGGAATGTACAAGCTCCAGATATGCAAAACAGCCATCTCAGCCTGGTGCTGAGGCCAATTCCAGGGTGGTTTCTTGCCTGTCATTAGTGAATCAGGAGGTCTCTTGCTTACTAGGGCTCACTTCCTTCAACATCTGGCATATGGTGATAAAGCAGCCAAGTGAGAGCAAAGGTATCACTAGAAATTGGCAGCTCACAAGCTTCCTTCTCATGTAGTAAATGAGCCTGTGGAGGATTCCAGTGGGAATCTCTACAGACTTTGCCAGGAGGAGCTGCTTGTGCAGTAAGTGCCTGCAGCACCTTGAAGTTCTCTTTGATAGTGAAAGTCATAGGAGCAAGTGAGCACCTGCCTGTGAACGAGGCCAAGTTGGGTTGTCTGTCCCTTGCAGGGGCATGCCTCTGACAATTTGCACACAGCAG